CACTGGAGTGCCTCTAGCGGCTAAATAACGCTTCACAGACAGCGCGTTATGGGCAGGTGCATTGTCCTGGTGCAAGATCCACGACTTGTTTTTCCACAACTGTTTCTTTATCGGCGTCTCAGCAATCATCCTAATGCTCATACGACGATCTCCGCGCACAATTTCATTGATTTTGGTCACTGTTTGCGGAGTTGAAACAGAGACAGGTCGACCCGGACGTTGGTCATCTTCGGTGCTCTCTCGGCCTTCAGAAAACCGTTTATACCATTCGAAAACACGCGCACGAGATAGAGAATTCTCACCATAGGCCTCTTTCAACAAGTTATAGCACTCAGTCGGAGTTTTTTTTAATTTAACGAGAAATTCCACATTGATCCGTTGCTCGTGTTTTTCGTCACACATTGTTATCGGCACGAGAAAAAACACGTTCGTTTCTAACCTCTATAGAAAAAATACTACTACAGCGACAAAAACGAGTTTTCGTACTGGAATAGTAGACACTTCCACCTATCCAACGCTGCATTCGTTCTCCCCCCCCCCTCCCCCTTCCCCTCTAGGACGACTTCTGCGCGCGCAGTCTCGTTATTTAATAGCCAGACCTCGTATATCGCGTAACTCTTGCAAAAATAGATCCTGGCTACATAGTGAACCTGCGGCAAATATACTAAGACGGCCAGCCGAACTATTAAACCAGAATTTTGATAACGTAATAAATAATACCGCGCAAAGTATACGAGAAGGAATACAAAACGCGCTAACCGTACTTGATAGTTCAAACGAAGAACAGCCCCCGATACACATCGTAACTGAATGCGAATTTTCGTTTGATGAAATCGATAACAGTATATTACCAGCAGTAATTTCACACGTTAGGGGACAAAGAAACTTGCCGAGTAATAGTACCATTACTAACGTGTCAGACAGAGGAGAATTTTCTTTAACTTCGTACGACGATAGCGTTTTCGACCCGAACGAAATACTTGATAACTTAAACATGGACGGGCGTACAGAGCAAGATGTACCTTATATTGACGGTCCCGCGATAGATGAAGAAATTAATAGATTACGAACCACCGTCGCGCAACGTACGAACGGTAGCATAGAGGAAAACCCTTTACCAAGAGGCAACAGGGAAGGAGAACGCAACTCCCTAGTGGAGGTCTTACTGAGTCAAATACAGAACCTCACTACTTGCGTAGCCGAGTTAAATGAGAAGGTTAACGTATTGCAACAAAATAACACGGAAGGATTCACTAACGTACAAAGGCCCACTGCAACGGGGCACTGGAACAGAGACAGAACGTACGACCACATACATATACATGACCCTTTCTCAGAAGACAGTCTCGCATTGAATTCGTTTATAACTGACACTAACAGACAGCGAATAAAAGAGGCCAGGGACTTGATACCGACCTTTGATGGCTCCAGTGAAGAGAGTCTCAAAGAATTTTTACACGCTTGCAATTATGCTTACGATTTAATACACCCTACAGAAGAAATCGCATTAACTAAGGCAATAACCTGCACGAAACTAAAAGGACAAGCCATGACGGAAATAGAAAACCGAAATGTAATAACCTATCGACAATTGAAAGAAATATTAGAAGCTTGCTATTCGAGAAAAAAGGTCGACTACACGGTTACAACGCGAATTTAATTTTTTACGGCAGAAGACCGGAGAAAAAGCGCAAGTCTAAGAAAGAGAGTCTAGTTAGACTAGCAACAGAATTATATGAGTCAGCCACTGAAGGTACATTGTATACCCCGGTAGAAAAGAGAGCCATATACGAATATATTAAATCTCAAGCACTAATAAATTTCCAACTTGGACTGAATGATAAGCTGCAAACCATAGTATGATCCTGAGCTCCCACTATAATAGCTGAAGCTATCGGAGCAATGGAGGAAGAAAAGGTGAAAGGGTTAAATCACTATAATAATCGGGAAACTGCACTTCCATATAACAGTCGACCGACGACGAATCCGTGTGCTCGAGAAAATGTTAGACCTCCGACGCGTCACAAATGCGGCAAAATTGGACAGATAGGGAAAGATTGTCGTACCAGCCGTTACGCGAACCGATACACCCTACCAACAATGAGTGAACGCCCTCGCATGAACGCGATGGAAAAATATTGCACATATTGCAAAAAGGTAGGACATACACGCGAAGAATGCTGGAAGCTGCACGGGAAACCAGTCGAATACGCTGCACCCAACTTTGAACGTCGCGAAGGTCATCAAAATACAAACACCGCCTCGACAGATAGGCGTAGAATGAATCAGGGAGGCCCATCTAACGAGAGCAAAAGTAAAAACGAGAGATGAAAAAGAGAAAGTAAAACGCAAAGTGCTCGAGACTTTCAAATCAACCAAGTGAAGAGAGGCAAACCTACGCGGGATTGGACTTAGTGATACTCCCGATATACGAAACCAGACGAGGGAAGATACCACTCTTACTGGATACCGGATCGTCAATTAGTTTCGTAAAAGTACG